GATAACGAGGTTAGTTCAATCAGGGAGGATGAGGTCCTCTTCTAGCAGCTACCTCAACTGCTAGAAGAGGACCTCATCCTCCCTGATTGAACTAACCTCGTTATCTCTAAACTGACTCTCACCTGCATATTTGTACCTGCCCCTGGAAACTTCCACTACATTAATCTGATGAAGTGGGTACTCACCCACGAAAGCTTATGCTCCAATACGTCTGTTAGTCTAAAAGGTGCCACAGGACTCTTTGTCGCTTTTTATGAAATTTGTCTCTATCCAGTTCTGGAGCATGTTCTCTGCACTAATCATTGAAAGTATCTCATCTGCAAACTTGTCAACTGTACACCTGCTTGCTTGAATGGGTCTCTCCCTTTCCTTGCTAGAACTTGTATCACACATTTTCCCCCCTCCCCGCCCCCCGGTGCCTGTTAACTGGCAACAAGTAATTCTCGTTTAGCCCATTGGTAGTGTGCATGTGTTCCAACCCTGCTCTGTATGCAGTTTTCCATCTCCCTCAAATCCTGTGCTTTGAGCTAATGTGAAATTTTGGAGATTTCAAGGGCTTCTTTACCATTTTGAATCACAGGACTGAATATCTTGTAATAAGGCACTGAAATTTGAAAGTAAACTATTTTTATTGTATTTCTTGGTATTCCGAGGACTGTCATAAATCCAATATTCTTTTACTTTTTTCCTCATTTCAGAGACCACTTCTGCAACAAAGGTGTAAGTGGGAAATGCTGGCATGTTACATAGAAGGACTTGGGAGCACAAGTGACAGTGTTTGGCAAATCGAAGGACAAGGAGATGAGCCAAAAGAAGATCTGTTCCTCAGCCTTCAGAGGGATGTGAAAAGAAACTGACAGAATTTAAGTTCAAGGATGAAAATTCTACCATTTTTGAATGCCACGGCAGACCTAGATAGGCAGAGAGAATCCATTATGGACTCCATATATCCTGATACAGTAATGGGGGACTGCAAGAGCTCTACTGTAAGGGGGTACATGCAACATCAAAGGCAGCTTGGTCAGTTAACCCATTCATGGGTCCCTGCACCTGTTCAGTATGTTCAGTATTCTTGGCATAGTGCTGTGATATAGGACAGGCGAAGCTCTTATTGAACTGCACAATGTTCACCTGCTCTTTCCTGTAAGGCCCAAAACACTCCATTCCTGCCTGTAAGATGGACATGAATTTCATGCCTCAGTAGGCCAGAAAACAGAATAGAGTTGGTTACTGTAGATGGCCTGCATGTTTGAGAGAAATAATGCCAAATCAATTTTAAGTACAAGTGTACTTTTTTTTCCTTTTGAAGACCAAAACTGTTTCATTAATCCATTACCTTCCTCAACCAAAACTATAAATTCAGAAAAATACTTCTGTTTCATGAGGTCAAAGCTTATGTGGGAAAATATATTTAGTAGCATAAAATGCATAATTAAATGTTAGCTACTTAGCTGCCTCAGTGAAGTCCATACCCTCCCCCCCAATGTGTTCTGTGGAAGGGTTTAAGTGTATTAATCATTGTCTTACCGTTGTAACATTGTGGTTCACTGTTTGTAACAAGAGTAGGCTTGTGTAACTTTATGGGAACAACTACCATAAAACCCTTTTAACCATTTATTAAATACATAATGTAAAAACTTGTCCGTCTGACATTGACATTAAGGTAATGGAGTGGCTGATATGGAACTCAATTAATAATGAATTAAAGGCGGGTAATATAGTTACTTTCCATGAACCCATAGTAATTGGAATTAAGTCCTATCAAACTATCAACCAAATTTTTAATGGCATCAAAAAGTTAAAGGTAATAGCATTGATCCAATCTATTTAGACTTCTGTCAGGTGTTTGACGTGGTGCTGCATGACATTTTTGATTTTAAACAAATTGGGATACAAAATTAACATGGCACGCATTAATGGATTAAAAACTGGCTAACTGATCTGTCACAAAATGTCATTAACGGAATCATCATTGAACGAGTGAGTTTCTAGTGGGGCCATGCAGGGATGGTTCTTGGCTCTATGCTATTTAACATCTAACATATTTTTATCTGTGATCTGCAAGAATACTTAAAATAATCACTGATAAAGTTTGCAAATGACAAGCAATTGGGGGGGGGGGTTTAAATCGTCATCTCATTAACATTTTTTTAGTCCCCTCTAATTTTGCAGTCTCCTTCTAGACCTGATGTGATTAGTATTCTATTCCATGTGATGTTTTCTTCATCTCATTCCTTATGCATCCTAATACCTTGTTTGTTTGCTTTTATTTTTTAAAATCACCATTGAGCAGAGATCTTCATTGAGCTGTCTATAGTCAGGCCTAGGTGCATTTTATGAGTTGATAGCTAATTTAGAACCCTGTAAGCTGTATGAGCAGTTAAACTGTCTTCCTCCTCTGTGACTGACTTTGCATTTATCAACTATTTGTATTAGTATAGTGTCTAGGAGCCCTAATAATTTCCATTTTCCAAATTCAGTTGGAGTGTGGAAAGTGAAGCAGAGAGAGCTAGCAACTTGTCAGACCTCACATACTGTAGCAAATAACTGGCAAAATGGGGAATATTGCTTTCTTGACACATCCTGATTCCAACCAAGCTGCTTCTATAAGAGTTCCAGTGCCTAACCACTGTTGTAAATCACGATCTATGCTAATATCTATTTAATTCTATATGAAGCAGCATATCAATACATCATATTCCATAAGTATTAAAGGTGTTTTTCCCCCATGTTTGCTGGTCACCTTGGCCACCTGTATGATCCCATAGAGGTGTGCTTTAACGCAGGATAAAATATTGACATCAGCAGAATACTCAAAACAACCTGGAGTCCTGAAACTTCCTTTTAGTATAGTGCAGAATCACCAAATGATGACTACAAAATACTACATACTTGGGGCGGGGGAAGCTTGTCCATGAACTTTTATCTTTATCTGCAAACTATTAAGTATTAACTGTAATAAAAGGTAAATGGGTTTCTCACTACTGCTCAATGCATTACATTGAATGTTAAGGGTCCAAACCGTACAGAATAAAATGCATGCATTGACTGGTACAAATTCACTAAAATCTGACCCTTAACAGCACTATGAGCCACTATTGCAAACCCTGAGATGAGAGCTATGTACCAGCAACTCCTGTTAAAGGTGTTGAGCCCTCACAATTCCCAGTAACTCAAGAGAGGTTTAAAAAATGTAGAGGTGTAAAACTGTTGAACTGTAATTGATAGACACTGAGGGAAGGCACTTAATCTTTATGGTCCTTTCTATGCTATAGTTACAAATGTCAACACATTATAACAACTTTATTTTGCATGTGTAGATTAGAGCAGTCTGTTATCTCACTGGGCATAGCTGTGTTGTAATTGTAGTGCAGATGGGGGTCCAAAATGATAGATATCTAAATAGGCTTCCAGACTTGTACATTGTGCTAGTAATGTACCAAACTGGTAAGTTCAGTTGGCATTTTAAACTGGTGGATGAGGCTAACGCACACTGTGTGTGTGTAATATATATACATTTTTTTATTTTATTTTATTTTTTGGTGTGGGGTGGAGAGATGGGGCACTTGAGTTGGCAACGTGATCCTCCTTCATTGGAAGTGTTGTCATTTTTCTTTAAAGCAAATAGAATTAGATCCAAGAAACTAAACAGCTGCAGTACATATTTTGGAAGGTCATTAGGGAAAACCTATAATGGAGAGGTTTTAAAATTTCTTCTGTTGAGCCATTTGAAAAGAGATCATACTTGAGAATTCCTTTTAAATTTTTTAAAATATTGTTTCTTCCAGCTCCTAAAATCCAAATCATGAAACTTGGGTTCTCTTCTGTTTCATATTGGACTTTTTTGTTTGTTGCTGAAGTAGTGGCTTTGGCCCTTTATACTTTCTATTTTTAAGCATGCACTCATGGGGATAGCTATTTCTGAGAGCATATCTAAAGGTATTCAGTATATTTGCACAGGAAGCCTTTTTTCAGTGAATCTCATATAAGATGATTTTTTTCTTATTCTCAAACCAGAGTCTATTAAAGTTGTTTATACAATTGGGGCTTTAAAATAGTCAGTGGGAAAACTTAACACTGAACTCCAGAGTTAAAAGAAATTAAATCTCCATATTTATAATTTCTGTAACTGCTGGGTGCATGCAGTAGTTTGGAAAATTAAATCAGCCCTAAGAAGTTTTCTGGTGGCTTGAATAAAATGTACAAGCCTGAGATGTGTGTTTTTAATCCTATCAAAACAATCCTAATTCTCACAAATTGAAGTGCAGGTTGCCAACAAATTTATACCTCTATGCTTTTTAAAATCTCATAGACAAAGTACAGCAGTTTAATGAACCTATATACTTTCACACAGTGAGATAGCTGACCCTTAAAAGGGGGCGGGCGGGCGCAGAGTCAGCTAGCTGTAGTGGGAAGGGAGGGATAGGATGCCGTGTAGAAGACTGACAAGAGCAGTATTAGGCTGTGTATCCCCAGTCAGTCTTACTCAGTATGCCTTTCCTCTGCTGTTTAGGGTGTGGTGTGTGGTTTTTTTTTTTTTAAACGCTGGCAAGTGCCACATTGTATGCTGTTAATGCTACCCCTGAGATGTAGAATAGCTTTCTATATATTTATAGCATGCCTCTTGAAATGCTCCTCATTTCAAGTGATCTCATTCATCTTATTCTCAAAGTTACCAGTACCACAAACTTCTTGTCCTTGACTTTTCACTTCTAAAAATATTTACAACAGAAATGAGCTTTAAAAGATAGTTATACACTGAAGGAATGAGTCCCATGTCAGCAGGAGTTTCCTGCATGAATAACTTTTTGTGTTCCTTGTCATGTGAAAGATTCAAAATATTTCACATTTGGCTGTAGTAGGTTGAGAGCTGTGTTACAGCAAACTAACATTTTACTTGGCTTTTAAGTAAATCTTAATGCATTTTTATTGAAACCTTTAAATTTTTTTAATAGAGAAAATCAGAAACATGTTTCTTAAGGAAAATGGGTGTAATGTACTATGTCAACTCTGCTTGTTGTTCCCCAAGACTTCTACTTGTTTTCCAAGCTGATGCTATAGTGCAGTACTGAGGGACCCATAGATACCCAGTTAGCAGGAGTGATCAGTGCACACAATTCCTCCACAGAGATCCCACCCTTGCTGGTCTGGTACCAAGCTCAAAGTCTGATACTGTTTTTCCGTTAGATTGTCATCCGTGATTTCAGTTTCTACTGCTCTTTGTAGCTGTTAGTGATCACAAATGTTCTTTGACCTTTATGTGATTTCTGTATTGTGCAATTGTATAATATACACCCTAACTTATTACATTAAAAAAACTGTAGCAAAATCAATAGAAGAGGGCTTATTCTTAAATCCTTTCAGCTGAACATACTTTCAGTACATTATCAAAATACCTTGAAGTAAATATTTGTTTACTGATTTGATTCTTTTAGTGAGCACTACATTTAGGTATTTTAAAAAAATGAACACTCATGAGAAGCATTTAAAATCTACTAAATGTGACAATTGTGAAGTAATATTCTTTACCCTATGTATAAAAATTATATGGTATATCTGTGCTGATAACTCCTCAACTGGAGTATTGCAGCCAAGTCTGGGTGCCACACGTCAGGAAAGCTCCAGAGGAGAGCACAAAAATGATTAAAGGCCTAGAAAACAACCTATAAGGAAAGACTGAAAAAAAATTGGTTTGTTTAGTGTGGAGAAGATAGCTGAAAACTGTTGCGTTCCTCCTCAGGTTGTTACAAGGAGGAGGGTGAAAATTGTTCTCCTTAACCTCTGAGGATAGGACAAGAAGCAACGGGCTTAAATTACAACCAGAGAGGTTTAGGTTGGACAGTAGGAAAAAATTCCTGACTGTCAGGGTAATTAAGCACTGGACAAATTGCCTAGGGAGGATGTGGAATCTCCATCATTAGAGGTTTTTAAGAACATGTGGGCAAACTTTGTGGCCAAGGGCCACATCTGGGAATAGAAATTGTATGGTGGGCCACGAATGCTCACAAAATTGGGGTTATGGTGCGGGAGGAGGTGGGGGAGTGGGGCGCGGGGTGGTGGTGGTGGTGAGGGCTCTGGAGTGGGGCGGGGGAAGAGGAGTTTGGGGTGTAGGAGGGTGCTCTGGACTGGGATTGACGGGTTTGGAGGGTGGGAGGAGGATCAGGGTTGGTACAGGGGATTGGGGCATGAGGGGAGGCTCAGGGGTGCAGGCTCTGGGCGGTGCTTACCTCAAGCGATTCCTGAAAGCAATGGCATGTCCCTTCTCCGGCTCCTGCGTAGAGGTGTGGCCAGGCGTCTCTTTACGCTGCCCTGTCTGCAGGCAGCACCCCTGCAGTTCCCATTGGCTGTGGTTTCTGGCCAATGGGAACTGCAGGGGTGGTGCTTGCGGTGGGGGTAGCGTGCAGAGCGCAGCCCCCTGGGTGCCCCATGCATAGGAGTCAGAGGGGGGACATGCCACTGCTTCCGGGAGCTGCGTGGAGCATCCCCCAACCCTGCTCCCCGACTGGCGTGCCAGAGTGGGGCAAGCCCCAGACCCTACTCCCCAGCGAGAGCTCAAGGGCCGGATTAAAACAGCTGATGGTCTAGATCCAGCCTGCAAGCCGTAGTTTGCCCAGCCCTGGGTTAGACAAACACCTGCCAGGAATGGTCTAGTTATTATGTAGTCCTGACTTTAGTGCAGGGGACTGGACTAGATGACCTATTGAGGTCCCTTTCAGTCAAACACTTCTATGATTTTGTGTGCTGCATGATGAGGGTTTGCCTCCCATTGCCAGTCCCTTATGGAAATGACTTTGTTCTTGCATTTAGAAAAACAACTTAAGAATTTTTGTACCAAGAGATTTTACTATGAACTATTGAGAATCTAGTGGAACTACAAACAAATGCCATGGAAGATAATCTGATAACATTTTGCTATAGTAAAGAAGACTGTTGAGAACTGTTTGACAGCATTAAAGTAGAAATGGTCAACGCTTTTGATTATGGTTATTGTGTGGGTTAAGGAATAAAGCTGAGATTGAAATATTGAGTCTTAAAGCCAAGGCATTTGTGCATGATTTACTGGTAAAATGACCTGGAATGTTTCACAACAGAAGCCTGTTTTTACACAGCTTTTCACAGGCTGTATATACAGCATGTACAAAATTTTGACATTAGCCATGTTACTATGTCTAGGAGTATGTTGTACTTCACTCTTCACTTATGGTACATGATAGTAATTCATTTAGTTTCTGTGACTCAGTTGCTGTTGGGGTAGTAAATGCTTCATTTGTCACTAAATCAGGCATGTGGCAACCAATGGCACCATAATATTCAGTGTACTACTGATGGTCCATTTCTAATTTTCCCCTAATATCCAGTGTGTGTTCGGCATCTGGGCTCAGTCCTGCAAAGTGCTGAGTAACAACTGGAGGTGATGAGCACCTTGCTAGATTGAGCCATTCTAGAAAATGATTTCTCTGGTCTTCTAAGATTTTGTTTACTTTTTAGCTAAATTCTTCATGGGCAACTACTTTACTTCTCTCTCCAGCATTGCTTTTGTGTTTTTTGCCTTACACAAATGAAGAGGAAAGGCCCCTGATTTTCCACTTGCAACAGCTCTTTCAAGATATCTATTATTGGGTTTTTCTGATCTGTCTGTGTTCAGCTCTGGCCTCTGCCTGCAGTTGAGTTGCCCACAGTGTTCTACACTTTTGCCAGTGCTCAGGCACATTGTAACCAGAGAGAAGTGGATGAAGATGAAATGTCTCCTTATCATTTTAGTAGTTTTTTCCATTATTCTAATGACAATATATTTTTAAAAATGCTTTAATAAAGGCAAATTGTAATCCATTTCAATCAGAAAGAAAATAAGGCACAAGTAACATTTAATCTAATTAGTGTATCTTCCTACTCTAATTGTGATGACTGTGAGCATCTGGTGGCGACTGAGCATGAACTGTGAAAAAAGTCAAAGCAACCTAATCCCCATTATTTCTGCTCACTGAAGAGGATAAATAAATTACCAGGCACTAATCTTTGGATAATTGCTCTGATTTGAGTTGGAGATCTTAATTCTGATATAAATTAGTTCTGTAAGATTGTAGAACTGTTAAAACTAGTGGACTGTTCAAAAAAGCCTAATAGATGAGTGAATGCCATGAGCCTTCATTTTTGTTCTCATTATAACAGTTATAGTGAAACCCTGGAATCCATGTATTAGAGAGAGATACTACTGTCTTCATTTGAACGTTACCAAAACGACACCAATTTTCAATTGCATTTTACATGCATGATCATAAACCAAAATAGAATATTTTTGGAAAGTTTGAGGGCAAGGCATTTGTGGAATAAGAATCCATAATGAAGTATATTTCAATTCAGTATACAACCCATGCTCAGTGTGGCTCTCTGTCAGACCTGGGTCTTCTAGCTCAGGCAGTGTAGAGACTCATGCTTTTATATTCAGAGGTCCAGACATCTTCTCCAGGGACATTGTTACGTATGGAATTTTCCCAACTTTTTGAGGTTTCACATACCTTAAACAGCTTGGTGTTCAAACTCCACATTTTTAGTCTGTTCTCAAGGAGAACTGGTGCCTTTGGCTAATTTTGGACACTTTGGCTGTATCTTAAAGTTGTTAGCTGAGGCAGCCTCATGAGGTCCAAGAGGTGTGCCAGCTGTTCACACGTTCCGTAGAATGCTCACAGTTGCAAGTTTCCTAAAGTAAATACTGGAACATTTGGAGTGGTATGGGCAATATTTTGCTTGTAAACACGAGTTGCAGTCTTCATACAGTCTTTATCCATGTGTATTTTAGGATGCTCACACTGTATGCCGTAACTCTGTTGTAAATATTTCCCTGATTCAAATTTATTTACATTTATTGCTGCTACACATGTCAAGACCAGACTATAAATCATTTCTAAATTACTGACATTCCCATATACACAACTCATGAATCTAGATTTAGTTGAAAATACATATCAAGACCTTTAGGGAAATAGATCTTTCTAAAGGAATATGACTGTAAAAACCAGACACTTTAAAACCTGAAAATTAAGGTGGCAGTTCATGATCTGAAAGTATAGAAATGCACATAAGAGGACCCAAACACTCTGAACTGTTTTGTCAATCAACATTCAAAATTCATTCAAAACTGGGAGATAAGTGCTGTTAAGGCATTCAGTTATCACATCAGTGACACTTAAAAAGCAAACTACTTTCCCCACCCTTTAGTACTTGTGTGCAGAAGTCCTCTTAAAAGAAATCAACTTTAAAAATTGGGCTTATACCTTTGTTTGCTTATTTGTGATATGTATTGATTTCCTGAAAGGTTGTTTTTACATTAAAAATTTGAGTTTAGTTTATTCTGATTTTCCAGGAAAAACAAGGAACTTAGGAATTGCCTTCCTGGAGCAGACCCTCAATCCATCTAGTCCAATAAGAACAAATAAAAATTAGCAGGCTTCCGACACCTGATACCATGCTAGTGAAACCTTATTTTTAGAGAGGGAGAAAGAGAGCTTTATTCTGATTAAGTAGAACTAATTTTTATTTTTGTCGTCTATATACTTAACTCAAGTGCCTGAAAAACATTTTGGAGAAAAGATACCTTTGTGAAGGAAATTTCTACCCCTTCAATTAAATGGCTGAAGGAGCTTATAATCCATGCTGAACACCTACAAGGAGGCCTTTAGTAAAAGTAGGAAAAATGAAACATTATGTTGCTCAACTTGTTAGTTAATTTAATTATACTCTAAAGTAGTATGTAAACTATGCATTTGGCTTTTGATTGCTGTGACAAACTTCTTTAAATCCATCT